TGGTCATTTGCCTCCATATTTCTAAATAACATACTACTACTACTTCCTGGTTTTTAACCATTAGAAATCATTTACTGACTCTTCCTACAGAAGATGTTTATCTCATATCACTGATAACTTCACTACCTCTCCATTCTTCCAGCAGCATTATATCACAATTCTTTTGTAAATCAATATTCAGTGGATTACCATTTAAAGGTGAATTACATGATCCAGTATGATTACATGTCCTTTCCCATACAAGACGTTTTTGTCTGCCTTGGAGTTAATAACTCTCCCTCTTTCCTTTTTTGCTTAATTTTCTATGTTTCTATCATTAATTAATTCCCACTTTGTCACAGCTGCAAGAATTTTTCTCAATAAGGGCAAAACCTTCCATCCTCAAAAACCAATCTAGACTAACTACTATGGGACTGCCACACAGATTCATCCCAGAGCTTTCTTCCTTGGTTGTTTTGGGAATTTCACTTTTCTGGGTTGGAACTCCAGTTTCCTGCATCCTTGGTATTCCTCTTTCTGAATTTTCTCTTCTTTGTTGGAGAATATCTTTCAGTTGGATCCTGAGAAAGTGTGCATTTGAAGCAAATGTTTAGGTCCTTTAATACTGAATACTGAATGCTTTAGTCTGTCTTACAGTTTATTGATCATTTGCATTGCTAAGAACTTAGATTGCAAGTCAAAAATTTCCCTCAAATAATTGAAGATAATTTTCAACTGTCTTTCAGCTTCTAGTATTGCTTTTAAGAAGTCTGTTTCAATACTGATTCTATATCTTTTGTATGAGAGTTCTCTTTTTCTCCCTGGAAGGTTTCAGGACCTTTTCTTTACCTTGGGTACTTTGAAACTGCATAGTGAAGAGCTTTGTAGCTTTTCCCTCTTTACTGGTGCTTGAGTGGATGCTTTCATCAGGAAAGTATGTCCTTCAATTCTGAGCATTTTTCTTGAATTATTCCTTTGACATGTTTCTTTCTCTATTTTCTCTAGTCTCTTCATATGGAGCTCCTATTTATCAGAAGTTGTTTCCTGCATACTGATCCTCTAATTTTCTAGTTATTCTTTCCCATTTTCTTTCTCTTTGATTTTTGGATGTGGGAAATTTCAATTTTCTCTCCTAAGCCCAATTCTGCATTTAAAATTTGTTGCTACCATATTAATGTCTAGGAGTTTTTTTCTTATTTTCTGTTCTTGTTTTATGGAGGCAATATCTTACCTCCCCCTATGGGTATTACTGATAAAATTTTTTAAAGTTTTCTTTTATCCAACAGTTGGCAAACTATAGTCCACAGGGAAAATCTGGTCCATATCATGTTTTTGTATAGCCTGCAATCTAGGAATGGTATTTACATTTTAAAGGTTAAAGAAAAAACAAAGAAGAATGTGGATGCAGACTGTATGTGGCCTGAAAAACATAAAATATGTACTTATCTGGCCCTTTACAGAAAAAGTTTGCCAACTTCTTTTCTACTGCACTGTTTCTGTTTTCTACAAGTTATTCCACCCTGCTTTTGTTTCGTTGGTATTGTTTTGGTCTCTGTTTTTCCTATTACAGACATTCTTTGAATATCTGGTGAAGACTCCATGCACTTATTTAAGAGTAAGGCACTAAAGTGCTGATTGGTAGCTTTGTGTACATGGGTGAGACTTATAGGCTGGGAGGCTTGCAGTAAGGTAGGAACAGGGCCACTTTGTTACTATCTGTAGGCCCTTATTCATGGGGTGGTCAGTTTTCTTAGACAGGAACACTGTACTTTCCTGCCGTGAAGATATAAGATTGATTGTCAGCCTACTCAGAGCTGAGAAGAAAAAGAGAATGGAGCTCTCACATTCAGTAGGTAGACTTTTCTTACCCCACATCTTTAATACATCCTTAGCTGTAACTGTAGTTAAAGAATATATAGATTCTCTAGTTCATTCTATCCAGAGAGTAAACCTGGGTGGGGGAGGGGGCTGTCTAACTACTACATATACTAACTTGCAACCAATCCTCTTTAGTTTAACAGTGCTTTAACCAACACCTTAGAGTACCCCCAAGTCCTAAGCTTTTCCTAAGCTTGAATCTGGAAGATCTTGTTAGCTTTCATGATTACAGATTTAAATTTCAGCTTTCTCTTGCCTGCTAAGTCATTCAATTATTCATCTGTTTTCCAGTGTTCAAAATTTATTGACAGCTCATCTGTCATTGTCTCTTCTCCCACTCTTTTCAACTTTATAGGTTTGACATTTTCATTCCTTAACTATCATGGGATTTTGAAAGGGGGGTGAAAATTAACATAAAGGTTTGATTATTCCATAGGGACATTAAAAATCTAAATTTTATATGACGTTCTTGTGTGATATTTTAAAGTAATCCATAGGTTCTGAGGCATCAGACCAACCATAAAATTGGGCAGGATAGGAAGATGTATATTGCCAATATTATATAACAGTGTTGAAAATCAATGCAAAGTCAGGGTGCTATTCTATTTTGGTTTATGTTTAAAGTGTCCTATGGCAGAAAGGCATTTAAGTTAACAAAACAGTTCTGAAGAAAAGGTTTCACCTTCTCTTTTTTCCATTGTTTTCATACTGCCTTGCTCAAATGAATTATGCCCACTTGAGACAAATTATACTTTAGTAAAGCAGACCCTTTAGGAAACTTATAGTGCAGTTGTAACCTGGTCACAAAACCACCTGGTACATTCCTGAAAGCTGTTATTACTTTTTATGGATATACATTACTTCAAATACTCTAACAGTCCCATGTGAGCTTAAAAAAAAGATAACATTTTTTTAAACTCAATTTGTTTCTGCTTACTTTAGTCCTTCTAGACATATCCCTTATAAGAATAGTGCATTAGTATAAGCACCTTTTATGTCAATCAATACACATGAGTTTTATCAAATGATGTAAAACATTCACTTGATTTTTTTTAGTGGATGTTTCTTTGGCATAAGTTGCTACTTGATGATACTGTTTCCCTGAAAATCAGTACAATGACAGTTGGGCTATCCACTTTTTAATTAATAAAATACTGAAACTATAGTATTCTACATCAACATTATAAACACATGCTTTTTCTGAAATTCTTGAAAAGTATGTTTTGAAGCTCTAGAAGCTCTCTGGCCAATATGGTACAGCTGGAAAAGCACTGAACCTGGCATTTTTCACTAATTCAACAAGTACTTATTGTGCATCTATGTCCCAAGATGAGGCACAGGTGGTTGCTGAGAATGGAAAAATGTCTAATACATGTTTAGGGAAGGAGACAGATAAACAGGCTACTCCAAAACAATGAGATATATGCTATAATAGAGATAAGTATAAAGTGCTATGGGTTTCCTAAGGAGTAAATAACTCTAGTTGGAGAAATAAAAAAAGTCTTCATAAAGGACATGACCTCTTCAACTAGGTTTTGATTGGTAAACTTGCCAAATGAATTGTATGGTAACTTGTATGCCAAGGCAAAGAATAATGAAAGGATATGGTACATTTAACAGTTTAATAGTGAGATGTTTATATTTAATAGTGAGAATTTTAGTGGATACAGGTAGGCATAAGGATGAAAAACCAAGTCTTAAGGTTTTAAATGTAGGTGGTGTCAAGACATGAAGGTGCATTTAGTAGCTATGTAACATTAGACAAGTAATTTCATCTTTCACAACCTGTTTAATATATGTAGAAAAGGTTTATAAATGACAAAATAGGATACAAATGTACTTTTGCTTCAAATGGTTTCTTAAAATTCAAGGCATTGCTTATATTAAGAGAAAAAATCAACTGAGGTAAAAATATTTATTTTCCTGAAATTAAGCCTACTGACTAAAAGGCAAGAATTTTAAAACAAACATTAAGGCTCCCCTAGAAACTATTTGCTGAATATTAAAATAAAACAAACAGGTCAATCAACAGGGAGAGACAAAGTAAGTAGATGAAATGCTTCAAGAACAATTTCCAGTGAAACCTGATGCCAAGTACCAGTGGGATTTCTAGGCAGAGAAGGGCAGTAGGTTAAACATAGAACTGAATCACTCAGTTTGAAGAGAAACAAGTGCAGAATATCATTCTGAAATGATGGGGAGGGGAGTGGGTGATGTGTTCTGGGACTTAAATCCAGCTGTTGCAGTCATGTCATCAGCATATGTAAATCTGAACTCAAATGCAAGCTGGTCTGCTTATGTTTAAATGAGTTAATGTGAGTAAACAAGACACTTGAGAAAAGTCCAATTTCTAGATTGGTTAGGGCAGATAATGGTTAGCTGTGGGTCTTCTGGCTGATCTGAAAACATGTCAAATGGCCATATTTTCATGACTTTACTCTTAACCTGTGTTCTTCTATTTGAATTATCTGAATTTTATTGGTACAGCTTCACAGGAAAAAACTATTATATGGTTAAACTAATTATAATTTCATAAATAGAGAACATAAAGTGTTAAATTAGACTATAAGTAATCTAATAATTATAGTATTTATAAATTTAAAGTGTTGATGTCCTGTGAAATTGTGGTATAAAATGGTGATTTAAAAACTAGTTCCACAAAACACAAATCTTAATGGACCAGAATCTTTAGAAAAAAGAGTATTATAATTAAATTTTACTGTTAGTTGGTGTGAATTCTTTAGTACCATGAACACAGTTTGTTTTAACTCTTCTTAAATGGTTTGCTTTTTACCCATAAAATCATCATTTAGGTTCTGATGTTCACAAGATAAAATTTTATTGTTTGGTGGTGAGCTTCTATAAACGTTTACTGAGCACTCTGTTGTACGCTCACTGACCAATCATAAATCTTTAACCTTTAGCAAATATTGAGTTTTATTTTGGGTTTCAATTATTCCATTGACTCTTTCAACTTTCACTCCTGACATCTATCACTGAATATATACCAGTTCCCAGGGTTCTAGTGAAATAAAATTCCATCAAATTTACTATAAGGAATAAAGTAGCAAGACTAGCTCTACAAACACTCCTGGTCAGAGATAATATTACAGTAATATTACATTAAATTTCACTCCACTTACCTACCTAGGGCCTGGTTTAAGGCCCTGTATGCTTGAATTTCATACCACTGACGACCTGGTAAAAGACCTCTTAATTTTGAATGCTGGTCATTATATTGTCGCTTTAGTTCAACCTAATAATTTAAAAATATATTAAAAAAAGATAGTAGGTAATTAAAGGTCATTTAAAAACTCATTAACTTCTAACATTTTGAGTATCATTTAATTAGGGTAGAAAGATTTGTTTTTCAGTACTAAACATTTTTCAGTTCATTTAAAACATTTCTATTCATCTTTACATTTCCTAAATGCCTACATGAACTTAGTTAATTAGCTGTGTGATAGCAATCAGTTTTATTGAGAAATAATTTATATATGACAAAATTCACAAACTTTCAATGTACATGTAGATAAATTTTAATAAATGTATAGTCATGTAACCACCACCACAATCATAATTTAGAATATTTTCACTACCTAAAAACTCCTTCCTATCCCTCTTCAGGCAATTTCCTTTATTGCTGACCCTGTCAACCACTGGTCTACTTTCTGTTTTGCCTTTTTTAGAATTCTATGTAAATGTTATTACACAGTATGTAATCATTTGTGTCTGTTTTTTTTCATTTAGCATAATGATTTTGGAATTCATTCCAAAATAGTTCATTATTTTATGTTTATCCAGCCTGATAATCTCTGCTTTTTAATTGGGATGTTTAGTCCATTTACATTTAATGTTAATTATTGTTATGATTTAGTTTAAATCTACAGCATAGAATATACATTCTTCTCAAGTGCACATGGAACATTCTCCAAGATAGATTATATGTCGGACCACAAAATAAGTCTTAAGAAATTTAAGACTAAAATTACATCAAGTATCTTTTCCAACCACAATGGTAAGAAATTAGAAATTAATAACATAAGGAAAACTGAAATAGTCACAAATACGTGGAAATTGAAGAACATGCACCTGAACAACCAATGGGTCAAAGAAGAAATCAAGAGAGAAATAAAATAGCATCTTGAGGGACATCCCTGGTGGTCCAGTGGTTGAGAATCCGCCTTCCAATGCAGGTGACACGGGTTCAATCCCTGGTTGGGGAACTAAGATCCCACATACCACAGGGCAACTAAGCCCATGTGCTGCAACTACTGAGTATGCACACCGCAACTAGAGAGCCCATGCTGCAACTACTGAGCCCATGTGCTCTGGAGCCCACACACTGCAACTAGAGAGAGAAGCGCAAGTGCCGCAATGAAGAGACCGCATGCTGCAATGAAAGATCCCACATGCCGCAAGGAAGATCCCACGTGCCACAACTAAGACCCGATGCAGCCAAAAATAAATAATTTTTAAAAATTATCTCAATACAAATGAAAATGGAAACACAACAACAAAACTATGGGATGTAACAATAGCAGTTCTAAGAGAGAAGTTTATAGCAAAAAATGCCGACATGAAGAAAAAACAAAGATCTCAGATAAACAACATAACTTTACATCTTAAGAAACTAGAAAAAAGAACAAACTAATCTCAGCAGAAGGAAGGAAACTACTAAGATGAGAGCAAAAATATATGAAACAGACCAGAAAAAACGACAACAAAAAATCAATGAAACTAAGAGTTGTTTTTTTAAAGATAAATAAAACTGATATACTTTTGCTAATTAATTAAGCAAAAAAAAAGGACTCAAATAAAATTACAAATGAAAGCATAGATTACAGCTGATACTACAGAAATACAATGAATCCTAAGAGACTACTATGAACAATTATATGTGAAAAAAAAGGATAACTTAGAAGAAATGGATAAATTCCTAGAAAAAAATCAACCTACCAAGAATAATCATAAAGATATAAAAAATCTGAACAGACCTATAACAAGTAAGGACATTAACGCAGTAATCAAAAACCTCCCAAACGAACAAAAGCTCAGGACCAGATAACTTCATTGGTGAGACTGAAACTCTACTAAGCATTTAAGGAAGAATTAACACCAGTTCTTCTCAAATGCTTCTGAAATACTGAAGGGGAGGGAACACTTCCAAACTCGTTTTAAGAGGTCAGCATTATTCTCATAACAAAGGCATGTAGGGACTTTAAAAAGAGAAAATTACAGGCCAACATCCTGATAAACATAGTGGCAAAAATCCTCAGTAACAACAACAACAACAAAACTGAATTCAATAGCACAGTAAAAGGATCATACACCACGATCAAGGGTGATTTATCCCTGAAATACACATTGGTTTAACATACATAAATCAATAAATGTGATACACCACTATAACAAAATGAAGGATAAAAATCACATTATCTCAATAGACGCAGAAAAAGCACTTGACAAAATTCAACATCCTTTCGTGATAAAAATTCTCAAAAATTAGGCATAGAGGAAACATACTTCCATATACTAAAGGCCATATAGACAAGCCCACAGAAACATCACACTTAATAGTGAAAAGCTAAAAGCTTTTCCTCTAAGGTCAGGAATGAGACAGAGGTGCCCACTCTTACCACTTCTATTCAACAAGTTATTAAAAGTCTTAGCCAGAGCAATTAGGGAAGAAAAAGTAATAAAAGGCATCCAAAACAGAGAAGAAGAACTAAAATTGTCTGTTTGCAGATACATGATCTTATATGTAGAAAAGCCTAAAGATCCACCAAAAAACTCTTAGAATTAATAAAATTCAGTAAGGTTGCAGGATACAAAAATCAGTTGTGTTCCTACACACTAACGACAACCTATCCAAGAAATTAGGAAAACAATCCCATTTACGATAGCATCAAAAAGAATAAAACACTTTAAAATAAATTTAACTAAGGAGGTGAAAATCTTTACACTAAAAACTATAAAACACTGATGAAAGAAATTGAAGAAACACAAATAAAACAGGAAAGATCCTGTTTATGGATTAGAATAATTAGTATCGTTAAAATGTCCTTATTACCCAAAGTGATCTACAGATCCAGTAAAATCTCTATCAAAATCCAACAGACATTTTTTTTTGGCGGTACACGGGCCTCTCACTGTTGTGGCCTCTCCCGTTGCAGAGCACAGGCTCCAGACGCGCAGGCTCAGCAGCCATGGCTCACAGGCCCAGCCACTCCATGGCATGTGGGATCTTCCTGGACTGGGGCACGAACCCATGTCCCCTGCATCAGCAGGTGGACTCTCAACCACTGTGCCACCAGGGAAGCCTCAAGTGACATTTTTTACAGAAATAGAAAAAAGAATTCTAAAATTTGTATGGAACCACAAAAGATCCCGAATAGCCAAAGCAATGTTAAGGAAGAACAAAGCTGGAGGCAACACATTTCCTGATTTCAAACTATATTATAAAACTTTAGTAATCAAAACAGTACGGTACTGGCATAAAATCAGACACTCAGGCCAATGGAACAGAAGAGAGAATTCGAAATAAACCCATGCATATATGGTTAACTGATCTTTGACAAGGGCACCAAGAATAGACAATGGGGAAAGATAATCTCTTTAGGAATGGTGGTGGGAAAACTGGATATCTGCATGCCAAAGAATGAAACTGGATCCTTATCTTATACCATATATAAAAATCAACTCTAAATGAATTAAAGATTTAAATGTATACTCTGAGACCATAACACTCCTAGAAGAAAACAGGAAAAAGCTCCTTGGTCTCAGCAATGATTTTTTGGATATGACACCAAAAGCACAGGGAACAAAAGCAAAAATAAACAAGTGGGACTACATTAAACTAAAACACTTCTGCACAGAAGAAGAAACAATCAACAAAATGAAAAGACAACCTATGGAACAGGAGAACCATAATCTGATAAGAGGTTTATATCTAAAATATATAAGGAACTCATGCAAAACCAACACCCCGCCCCACAAAAAAAAAAAAAAAAAAAAAGGAAAACACAAAAGAAAACCTGATTAAAAAATAAGCAGAAGTCCTGAATAGACATTTTTTCAAAGAAGACATACAAGTGGTCGATGGGTATATGAAAAGGTGTTTAACATCACTAATCATCAGGGAAATGCAAATTAAAACAAAAATGAGATATCACCTAATACTTGTTAGGATGGCTATTATCAAAAAGACAAGAGGGGCTTCCCTGGTGGCACAGTGGTTGAGAGTCTGCCTGCCAATACAGGGGACACAGGTTCGTGCTCCGGTCTGGGCAGATCCCACATGCCGCGGAGCAGCTGGGCCCGTGAGCCATGGCCGCTGAGCCTGCACGTCCGGAGCCTGTGCTCCGCAACGGAAGAGGCCGCGACAGTAAGAGGCCCGCGTACCGCAAAAAAAAAAAAAAAAAAAAAAAGACAAGATGACAAGTGTCGGCAAGGGTATGGAGTAAAAGGAACACTTATACACTGTTGGTGGGAACGTAAAATTGGTATAGCCATTATGGAAAATGGTATGGACGTTCCCCAAAGAATTAAAAATAGAACTACCATATAATCCAGCAATCCCACTGCTGGGTATATATCTAAAAGAAATAAAATCACTGTCTTGAAGAGATGTGTGCAGTCTCATGTTCATTACAACATTCTTCACATTGGCAAGACATGAAAACAACATGTTATTGATGAATGAATGAACGGGCAAAGAAAATGTAAAATATATATACACATACACACACACACACACACACGCGTATATATAAGGGAATATTATTCAGGCATAAAAAGGAAATCCTGCTATTTGCAACCACATGGATGAACCTGGAGTATATTATACTAAGTGAAATAGGCCAGACAGAGAAACATAGCCATGACCTCACTTATACGTGGCATCTAAAACTGTTAAACACATTGAACCCAAGAGTAGAATGGTGGTTGGTAGTAGGTGAGGGGTGGAGGAAATGGGGAGATACTGGTTAAAGAGTATAAATTATCAGTGACTTTTGGTTACAAGATGAGTAAGTTCTGGGATTTGAATGTATAGCATGGCAACTATACTCAATAGTAATGTATTGTATACTTGAACTATGCTACGACCTTAAGTGTTCTCATCATATGCTGAAAAAATGGTTAACTATGTGAGGTGATGGTTGTGTTAATTAACCTGATTACGGTAATTTGACAATATATATTAAGTCACCACAATTTACACCTTAAATATACAGAATTTTTATTTGTCAATTA